CTGTTTGTACATAGGGTCGGTATGAGTCACAGGCGACTTGATGGCACATAACACAACAGTTCATATTTGGACTGGCTCATGAGCTGTTTATTATTGGTTAGAACAAAGATTGAGAATAAGCTTTTATAAACTTTCATGAGAGTTTGACATAATCCTTTTGCCAAATGTGTTATCATTTTTCTAGTATTAACCTTGGAGTTTTTTTTAAATAATTGAGTTGGAAAATTATAAAATGTTGACAAACTTCATTTTATCTTTTTATAAAACATTCTTTGAAATTTAGGAGTCTAGAGTCACTGATTTTATTTAATATTACCTTATTCAGGGAGCTCTGGTGGCTTACTGGCAAGAAGCTGCGCTCCTATCCTGAAGGCATGCAATTCAAATCCACCAGATGTTCCACTGGAGAAGGAGAGGCAATCTCCTGTGCCAAGTCACATCTGATTCGACAGTACACAACAAGAAAGAAAGAAAAAAAAATTATCTAATTCTTTATCCAATGTCTAACAAATTTTTAAAATGCTTATTAAGTGCCAAATTATGGTGAAAATGTTTTACAGATATTTACTGTAACCAAGCTAAAGGTCTCATAGCCCTGGTGTGTCCACTTACTGTACAACGGTAACTTGTGGTTGCTGTGAAGCTGAACTCTGACGCTGATGTGTCAAATGCATGAAATGATTGGTTACCCATGGTGGACAGTGTTGGGTGAAACGGCCTGATTAAAACAAGCTTGGAAGTAGGAGCAGCATCCATTTCCGTAATAGCTTGCCTCCGGAAACCCTATGAACCTAGAGAGAGGATGAGAGACACACAGGTGTTGAGGATTCTCCTTCATAGGGTCGCTATGAGTTGCCTGCGACTTGATGGCACTTAACAACAACATAATTTTACAAAAGCAATACTGTTTTTACTTACATTTCATAGATAAGGAATCTGAGACATAGGTTAAATTACCTAGGGTCATGGCTAGTTAGTGCTAAGTGGTAGAGCTAGAATTTAACCCAAGCTGTCTGGCCATATTTTTTAACAGTTGTGCTGTTCAGCAGCTCAACAGTACCTCATATATTGAGAAGCCTTTTAAAAACAGACTTTTGTACCTTTCCCTTAAATGAAAAACAACAAAACCCCCAAACATTTTTTATAGGTGATTATCTACCATGTTTGTTAGTAGAAATTGTTACTGGTATATTGCATAGTTGAGTCATTATGTATATTCCTGCTTGTTTACCCTCCTCACTAAATATTTCATCACTCCATTCATTGTGACATTATTAAAAACTACCTCCAGATTGTATTTTCTTCCATTGATCGTGCTCCTCTGATTGAAAGATCAGGAATATTGAATATGCTCTCTAATTAAGTAATAAAGTTCTTTTATTGAAATCTGCTTCTGGCTTCTGCTCTTGGGCTGGTTAGGTCTGTATTTCAAAACTGCAAGGTGTTTATTGTTGCTGCTGGGAATATACACCAGTTCAGTGATTTCTACAATTCAAATGATTTTGATTACGTTTTCAAGTTCTAAAACCATTTTCACCGTCCTCTTCCAAGTTGTTAGCAGTCTACTTTCAGATCAACCTTCTGTTGTGCCTTGGTCTACGTGTGGGATATTTGAAGGGTTCCTTTTCCTGTTTGTATTCTTAGATCAGCATGTCAATATTCTTTTTTTTTTTTCCTATTTCAGTTCTTCTTTCTTTTTTTAGGGTGAAACACAGTTTATACCAACTTTGTAAGCAAACCAATATAAAATTTTAAAAAAGAAGATATTTGCAATCATTGGAAAAAAAAATTGGAAAGTTTAGTTCTTTTTTAGGGGGAACTATTAATCTTAAAATAAGAGCATAGAACTCAGAAAAGCTAGTAGTACATCATCTATTATAAATTCTATATTTGTTACCCACAACTTAAAATTAATAAGATCACATTAACACTTTTTGGCTTGTTAATGAATTGACGAGTCTTCTAGAAGTTGTATATTCTAAATTCTAATCCCTATATTTGTGGTTATGATCTCATTTGGAAATGGATTTTTGTAACAAGGCAGTATTAGTGTAGGATGTGTTGTAAATTAGTTATTTTGAGATACACAGGAGATTAAACAAACTAGCAGAGTTGAAGGATGAAAGATTCTAAGTCACATGATTGCCTGAGAGCAGAAGGTTGGTTTTTTTTTCTCTTTAAATTTTTTTATTTTTATTGTATTATCTTTATGTGTACTATCAAATCAGATCTGACTGGTACAGGAGGAGATTGCCCCCTCCTTCTCCAGCAGAGCATCTGGTGGATTTGAACTGCATACCTCTGGGATTGCAGTGCAGCATCTTGCCACTCTGGCCACCAGAGCTCCCTTCTGAGAGCAGAAGTTAAGAGGAGGCAAGGGCCTTCTAGAGCCTACACACAGAGGGAGCTTTCCCTTAGAATTGGAACTCTGAGTTAAGAATTCTAGACTGCTAACATGAGAAAATAAATTTCCATTTGTAAGAGCATCTGCTTGTAGTATTTTTCACTTGAAATTAAAACCTTGTGGTCTTTATCCTTTGAATTACTTGTGCACCAGATTGCCCTCATTTGTTTTTTGCACAGTTAAGTACAGGACTCTTTGTATTCTTACTAAAATTGAAGATTCATTTTGGTTTTTGTTCTCCCTGAAGAGTTGTGAGGGCTTTTTCATTTGTTTTAGTTCTGTCAGTATTGTGAGATGTCATTGAGTAAACTTTGACCCATAACAGCCCTGTGAACAACAGATCAAAACCTTGCCCTAACCTGTGCCGTCTTCACAATGTCATGCTTAACCCCATTGTTGTAGCCATTCACAATATCAGTCAAATCTTACTGAGCTGATCCCCCTTTCCCAAGCATGTCTTTTTCCAAGGACTAGCCCTTCCTTACAGCATGCCGAAAGTGAGGCAAAGTTTCACCACCCTTGTCTTAATGAACATTTTGATTGCACTTCCTCCAAGACAAGTTTGTTTGTTCATTTGGCAGTCCATGCTGTATGTGGTACTCTTTGCCGACACTGCAATTTAGTGACATTGATTCTTTGGCATTCCTTTTCATGTCATACTTTCATGTGGATGTGGAACAATGGAAAAATACCATGACTTGGATCAGATGCACCTTGATTTTTAAACTGACATCCTTTAGCTATTTATCACTTTTTTTAGCTTTTTTAGCACTCTTAAGAGGTCCTTGACATAGATTTACCTGTGCAACATGTCTTGATTTCTTTAATGTGTATTTATTTATTTTATTCATTGTTACACATTTTCTTCCCTCTATTGATTTTTTTTTTTACTAATTTTAATGAACATTTACAGAGAATTTGGATTTCCATTCATTCATTGCTGCACTTCTCTACCCGTCCAGGCCTCTCCCCCCCGCCCCCCAGTTCGCTCCACTCTTTCAAAAGCAAAAGAAAGACTCCCAAAAAATAAAAAAAAAGGAAAGACTCCCTCCCTGGTACACAATTCCCCCCCCCCCCCAAGTACATTCCACTATGCAACCTTAATTGTGGACTCTTGTATCTATTGATTTCTTGACTGCTGCTTCCATGGTTATTGCTTGTGGATACAAGTAAAAGGAAATCCTTGGCAACATCAGTCTTTTCTTCATCTCTTATTTTGTTGCCAGTTGGTCCAGGTGTCAAGATTTTTATTTTCTTGATGAATATATTTCTTTTCTCTGTTGTTGGAAAAATTTATTAAGTACGTTTATGGCACATAACAACAACAACAATTATGTCTTTAGTCAAATTCTAATAATTATCAAATCTCCAATAGAACTCTGTAACAAGACACTAAATGATACTTTCCACATTGACACAGATCCTTAATCAGTTCACTTTTGGGTTAAGCTAGTTAAAACATCTGTTTATGTTGTGCTTAGACTTGAATATATGTATATAGTAGATTTTATTAAGAAATCTAGTATAATAGATGGTAAGAATTGTTAAGTTCTATTAAGTTGACTATGACTCATAGTGACCCTATGAATAAGGGATCTGAACCCTGCCCTATCCTGTCCCATCTTGACCATCTTTGACATACTCAAACACACTATTATAGTCATTGGCCATTCCATCTTGTTGAGGGCCTATCCCTCCTTTGCTGACCCTCCACCACCTTTACTTCGTATGATTTCCTTTTCCAAGGACTGGCCTCCCCTTAACAACATACCGAAACTATGTGAGATAGGTTTCACTGTTTCACTTTCCTTGCCCGCAAGGAACATCTGGACAGCACCTTTTCCAAGACACATTTGTCATTTTGGCAGTCCATAGGATATTCAACTCTCTTACCTAACTACAAAACTCAAAGACATCGATTATTCTTATGTCATCCTTAGTCATTAGTCATCTTTCAGTTGTATGACAGGTAATTGAAAAGATCATAGTTTGGATTAGGCATTCCCACTGTACTACATCTTTTCATTTCCTGGATGCTAGTGCCAAGGATATTGATGAAGACTATATATAGTGTTTGATCCTTGGTGGTAAGCATTTCAAGTCCTCTCTTTTAGCAGGCAGAGTTGTGCCACCTGCATATACAGATTGTTGATGACTTTTCCTCCAGTCCTAATGCCACATTGTTCATATATACCTGTTTCTTGAATGATCTGTGTGCATACAGATTGAATAGATATGGAGAAAGGATATATATCCCTGACACACATCTTGAAGATTGATTCTTTCCATATGCTATCCTGTCTCAGTCATTTTTAAGGAAAAAAAATTTTTTCTCAGAACTATTAAAAAATACATAAAGCTTTCTGATAGCTTATATAAAGAGGCCAGAATGTTATTTAAGGAATTGAATCTGTTAGAAAAATCCTTTTGCACATTGAATAGTATTAGAGGGAAATAGGCCATTTCCCAGGGATTTGGTGAGATTAAAGGGCAGTAATTTGTGATTGAACTTTCTTTTTTCTTGTGAGGACTACTTCTTTACATTCGCCAGGGTTTATCCTGTTAAATAAAAAAAAGCCTTATTCTTTTTTCTCAGCTTGCTGAACTAAAGCAAGAATGTCTTGCTCGTGGTTTGGAGACCAAGGGAATAAAACAAGATCTCATCAACAGGCTCCAGGCATATCTTGAAGAGCATGGTGAGTGTTTTGTGGAGGCAAAGAGTGATATGAGTGAGGCGATTCCTTTTCAGGCTCTGTCAAATAGAAGCTTTCTTCTTTTCATTTGGGTTGTTGTTGATCTAAGTGCTTGATTAACTACACCAAAGAAACTGTCTTAGTGATCCAAAGCAGTACTATAATGCAGAGAAATAATCTCCTGTTTTTTTAAATTGTAATTTTTATTTCAGCAAGTTTTTAAAAGATAATACAAGGATATTAATGAGTCTATGAATTGGTTGACTTAAGTTCTAATTGCTGTTATGTCAGAAATTTATTAGGTAACTTGAGATAGTCACTGTTTACATAATGAAATGTCTGATCTGTGAAATGAGATGTTTTCTTAAACCTGGGAATCCGTAAACCTAGATAATTTCTGGTCCTTTTCAGCTCTGAAGTTATCTAAATCTGCCCTTTAAACCTAACAAAACATGTTTAAGACAAGGTCATCCCAGGTTATACAAGTCATTTCTGCAGTTTTTATTTATGCATTTCCCCCTATTATTTCCAGTCCTCATTTCATTTACTTTCCTCCTTACACAAATATTCTAAGGTGTTTGGTGTGTGTTTTGTTATCTTTCCCTTTGTAAGCTATGTAGTGTTGTTTGGTGTACAGAATTTTGTTGTTACTGTTATGTACCATTAAGTCAGAACTAACTCATAGCTGACCCTGCAGCATGTTTTCAAGGGCAATAAATCAGACAGGAGGAGATTGCCTTTCTTTCTCCCATGGGGGGGGGGTAGGTGGATTCAAACTGCAGTACTTTTGGATTGGCAGTGCAGCTTCTTATCACTAGGCCAATAAAATAACCTCATTTTATTCTTCATTTTTCTCTTATAGTACTGTGTTTTTAAAAGATAAACCCTTAAGAGTATCCTGAGGCAAAAGCTTTTATAGGAAAAATAAGTGTAAATCTTTGTGCCATGGAACTATGTGATCATCTTGTCTTTGGCTTCCAGTTGTTGTATAGTTTTTTATTATGTATACAAAAAAACCTGCCATTGAGTCATTTTCACTTCATTGACACTTTGCATCAGGTTTTCTAGGCGGTAAATCTTACAGCAAGGGGACGGTCTCATCTCTCACCCATAGAGCAGCTGGTAAGGTCAAACTACTGACCTTTTTGGTGGCAACCTAATATTTAACCTACTGTATACCACCAGCACCACCACGTTTTTACTTAATTCACTTGGTAGCGAGCACTTATATTGTCTTTTAAGTCTCGACTGCTATAACTAATACTAACATAAATAATTTCATATCCTTTATGTTTTGTCCTGAAAATCTTTCTGGGATATATAGATCCAGGAATAGAACTGCTAGGTGATACCTATTTTTAAAAATATACATTACCAGATTTGTTTTACAGAATTGCAGCATGAATCTATACTTTCATTAGCACTGCATGAGAGTTCTTATATTGCTACAAACCTAAACTTTGTTCTTTTTTTTTTTTATTTATTTTTTTTTAATTTTATTTTGTGTATGTGTGTCTGTGTACCGTCAGATCAGATCTGACTGGTACAGGAGGAGATTGTCCCTCCTTTCCCGGCAGAGCATCTGGTGGATTTGAACCATGCATCTCTGGGATTGCAGTGCAAACTTTGTTCTTTTAAATGTCTATTTTTTATAATGTTTTGATAGTTTTATTTTTATTTCTCTAGTATAAAAAAGGTTTAAATGTACTTGTGTTCATGACTATTTGCATTTTTTCTTTGCCCATTTTCCTGTTGGGGTTCTTGTCATTCGGTTGATAGTTTGTGGGCATTTCTTTTATATCTTAGTAATTAGTCCCTTGTTGATTATATTTTTCATTTTTTTGAAAATTATCTTTATTTGTTGAGACTCTACTACAAAATTTTCAATCTCTGATATTATTAAATGTAGCATTAAGAATATTCCTAAAAGTCCCAAGTTAAATAGTTGGAAACTAAAGTTTAAAAAATAAAGTTACTAATACATATAAAATATGGGTAAATAAATTAATTTGCCAATATTGTTACATGAGGTATTACCCTACTGAAATATAGTGATCTTACTATTGGAAACACTCTTTCTATGTGTTTTATAGTGGTAATATGAGACAATCATGTAGCTTAGTAACTTTAAAAATAAGGCCGTAGGCACATGATTTAAAAATTACTTCCTAAAAGCAGTAGTCACTCTGAAGATGTCATGTTCCATCTTCTTTTTCATTGATTCATTTTAGCTGTCAAACAAGATAGGAACTTAAAGGTTGTTGGAATACATCTCTTGTCACTTCCTTGAAAAGGGCACAAAACCCCATTTCTCCTTGGTGTGGATATAACCATGTGCATACTGATTGAATTCCAGGGAACAGTGCTTTCCACATCATTCAAATGTGTACTGGAAGGGCTTCTGTCCAGTGTGAACCAGAAAATTCTGTTTCAGTTTGGAGACCTCTCAATGAAAACTTTCCTGTAGTCTACACAGTGTAGTCTTGGGGTCAGTGCACTAGGAAATACTTTCTCAGGGAGACAGTATCTGTAACTTTGTTTTGCGTTCACTCTGATGACAAACAGTTGTTTGTAGATCATCATATTCTTAATTTTTTTTTCTTGGCTTCTTTTTAGCAAATTCTGCCAGTTGTTAGTCCTTGTTCTACTTGTTATGTGCCATCAAGTTGCCAGAGACTGATATTGACCCTATGTACAACAGTTCTGAAACCTACTCTATCATGAGCCAACCTCATTTGTCCCTGACAAACCTGACCCCATTACCATAGTCACTGAATCAGTCCATCTCATTAAGAGTCTTCCTCTCATGTGCTGTCCCTCCACCCTCCCAAGCATAATGTCCCTCTTCAAGGACTGTTCAGTCCCTCCTTGCAGAATGCCCAGAGTATGCCATATAGAGCTTCAAAGTCCTTGCCTTCAAGGAGCAGCCTGGTTTCACCCTCTCTAGGACAGATTTGTTTGTTTTCTTGGCAGTCCTTGGTATGTTCAATACTCTTCGCTGACACCAAAAACATCGATTTTTCTTCTATCATCCATATTCATTGTCTATCTCTCTGATGCATAGCAAGTAATTGCAAAGACCATGGCTTGGATCAGGTACACCTTAGTTTCTAGACTGTCATCATTGCTCTTCAGTACTCTGGAAAGATCCCTGACAGCAGATTTCCCCCAATGCAATTTGTCTTTTGATATCCTGGCTGCTGGTGCCAAGAGTGTTGATTATGGACCAAGCAAGCTGAAGCTGTTAACATTTTCACCATCTATCATGATGTTGCCAGTCGGCCCAGAGGCGAGAATCTTTGTTTTCTTGATGTTAGGGCCTTAGACTCTGATTGATAATTCATTGCTAATATGACACTAGGAGGAAGTTTATTGCCCATCAGATAGTCAGAATACTCACTTTTGAGACAGTTCTTCTTTTGGTCCTCTAAAGGAAATTCAAGATGTGAATTGTCTCTAAAAACTTGTTGAGTAAGATCTTATGCTGGCTTAAGTAAGTTCTCTACCAGGATGAATTCCGAAAACTCAGCCTCTTATTGTGGATTCTAAATAACAAGGAAGACCTCCTCTTCAACTACCTGAAAGCCAATCTCATAGTATACCTTCATAATATAAAGGACCACATTGGATTAACAGATTCCTTTGCTGCCTGTGGTACCTGACTCAGCTAGACTGGGTGTGGTATAGTCCTAGTCTTTTCCACTCTGGTCTTTATGTTAACTTCTTGAACTTTTCTTCGGTTGCTGATCTGTATCCTCCTGTTTGGTTCCTCCTTGAAGATTTGGAACAGCACCTTCTATATACTCAAGTCACTGAGGGACAGAGCATCTTCTGACTTTTTCATTTTGCACTCCAGCACTTGGGAGCACTGATGACCTAGTGGTAGGAATCATGCTGTCAGCCCAAAAGTGTGTGGTTCGAATCCACCAGCTACTCCACAGAGAAAAAGACAGTCTCCACCTGTACTTTTTACTGTCTCTGAAAAGCAGTTGGAGTGTCAGTTGTGGGTTAGTTCTGACTTTATAGTACCCAACAACTAATTTAGCACTTAGTACATTTGACATGCTGTTCCAGTACACTCATATCTTGTACTCCTTAAAACACTATAGCTAGGGGAGCTCTGGTAGCCTAGTGGCAAGGAGCTGCAACTACAATCCCAGAGGCGCACGGTTCGAATCCACCAGATGCTCTGCCGGAGAAGGAGGGACAATCTCCTCCTGTACCAGTCTGATCTGATTTGACGGTACACTCACACAAAAATAATAAAATAAAATAAAAAAAATAAACATTAGAGCTAAGAAATCCTTGTTGACTTTAGACTACTTTTCTTTCCTTTTTTGATTAATCTTCATGGTGTCTTTTTGTTACATATTGGTGGCATTAGGTGTTAAGTCAGTTTTGATCCATAGTGACCTTATATACAATAGAAAAAACAAAAGAACCCCTACCCAGTCCTGGGCTATCCTCACAATTGTCCATTCATTACATTGAGAGTCTTCTTCTGGGTTTGGTTTGTGGTGTTGTTTGGTTGGTTTTTTGTTTGTTTTTTGCTGACCCTTTGCTTTGCCACGTGAGATAACTTCTTCCAGGGACTATCCTTCCATATAACATGTCCAAAATACAATGAGATAAAGTCTTGCTATCCTTATTTCTGTGTTTCAGCTCCACTTCTTCCATGACAGAGTAATTCTTCTTCTGGCAATCTATAGTATATTCTGTATTCTCCTACCATGTTAGTACTTCACAAAGAGGCATTAGTTCTTCAGTACTTTTTATTGAGTGTCCAGTTTTTGCATGAGTTTGAGACATGTGAGACAATTGAAATTATGGCTTATGTCTTGTACACCTTACTCCCAAAATGATATTTTTGTTCTTTAACACTTTAAAGTAGTCATTTGCAGTGCATTTTAACTTGTTTTTTGACTGCTCCATTCTTAGGAGTTGATTTTGGATGATGTTGTTGTTATGTGCCGTTGAGTCGTTTGCGACTCATAGTGACCCTATGTACAACAGCCCTAAACCCTGCTCTATCCTGTGCCAATCTCATTGCCTCTGACACACCCATCCCAATTACTCCAGTCACTGAATCAATCCACCTCATAGAGGGTCTTCCCCTCCTGCGCTGTCCCTCTACTCTACCCAGCATGATGTCCCTCTCCAAAGACCTGTCTCTCCTTACAACATGTCCAAAGTATGTCAGACAAAGCACCAGAATCCTTGTCTCCAAGGAGCAGCCTGGTTTAATCGTCTCTACGACGAATCTGTTTGTTTTCTTGGCAGTCCATGGTACATTCAATACTCTTCTCCAGCACCACAGCTCAAAGGCGTCAATTCTCCTTCTATCCTCCCTAGTCATTGTCCAACTCTCTGATGCATAACAAGTGATTGCAAAGACCATGGCCTGTATCAGGCGGACCTTAGCCTCCAGAGAGACACCGTTGCTCTTGAGTACTTTAGAGAGGTCCCTAACCGCATAAAATTAAATCCTTGTTAACTTCAGTCAGTGTTGTCTCCCTTAATGATGATGTAGCTTATTGGTCCAGTTGTGAGGATTTTGTTTTTATGTTAAAGTGTAATCCATATTGAAGTCTGTAGCTTTGATTGTCATCAGTAAGTGCTTAAAGAGGTCTCTCTACTTTCAGCAAGCTAAGTTGTGTGATCTGCATAATTGCTGCAAATATTTTTTAATTATATTCAGTAATATTTTACTTACATGTGATAGTAATAACATTATCTGATAATTTCTGCATTCTGTTGGATCACCCTTCTTTAAAATGGGCCCAAATCTGAATTTCTTCCAGTCTGTTGGCCTGGTTACTACTTTCCAGAATTCTTGGTATAGATGAATGGGCACCTCCAGCATTGCATATGTTTATTGAAATATCTCAGTTGACATTTCGTCAACCTCCTGGAGATAGTGTGGCTTGAACTTTTTTATTTTGATGTATCTTTTGATATTTTCTATTCAGTTCTCATGTTTTTCTTTTGTGTTTGCGTATCCATATTCTAGAGTAAGGTTGAGAATATCTTCCATATTGATCTTTCTTTCACGTGTTTTTAATGACTTTTCTTTCTTCATATTTAGTATCCTCCAGCTTGATTCATCTTGTCTCCATACATTAGTGTCTAGTGTATAAAATCTATTTTCCTTTTATTTTGGTTGTGATTTGAGTGAAAGTTTAAAAAGCATATTGCCTTTACATTGAACCATTAATATACTTTTTTAATGACATTAATTGCAATAACTCCACATGTATCCACTCTTCCCAATTCTTCCAGAAGATTTGTGTTTCTATTACTCTTTCTATCCCTACCGGCCTTTTGAACTTTATCCCTGAGCAACTGCTGCCCATTAGACCTTTATGTAATTGATTATTCTAAGGATTGAGTGTCTCCCTGGTGTCATTTCTCACTTCATAGACCTGTCTGGCATTTGCTTAAATGTTGAACCACATGGGTGTTGGGTCTGAGTCATTAAGGGTCAGAGTCTCAGGGATTCAACCAGTCTCTAGTGGACCAGTAAGCCTGGCCATGGGTTTGTTTTTTAGTTGTAGTCAACATTTTCACCCAGTCTATCCAGGACCTTCTCCTGTACTCCCTTTTAAGAGTGGCCAGACATCATCTAATTTTTCTGATTATTTGGTTATAGAGGTTGACATTTCATGGGGTCCATTTCCATTAGTCTTTTTGGACTAATGGTTTTCTATGGATCTTTGCTTTTCTTTGTGCTTTTTTTGTTTTTTGGGTTTTTTTTGTTTTTGTTTTTGTTGTTCTGGACTATGAGAAACCAGTAGTTACACCCTAGGTAGCTGCCTGCAGTATGTGTGTTTGTGCTTTTAAGATAATCAATTGCTAGTTACCAAAAGAAGATTTAGAATATTGTCTTTGTGGACTGTGGTGGTGTTCCCCAAGTCTGTAGTCCTAAACATTTCCTCAGACTACTAGGTTATAATATAAACTTGTTAGAAATTTTATATCTTGGTCAAATCTGTCCTTGAAATAGTCTCTAAATTCAGGTGGCTTATAAGCGAGGTAAAAGAAGTCACTCTGGAGCCTAAGGTACTCCTGATCCAGGCTATAGTCTTCTCAATTGCTTGCTATGTTTCAGAGAACTGGATGATGACTAGGAATGATAGAAAGAAAATTGATACCTTAGAGCTGTGGTGCTGGAGAAGAGTGTTGAATATACCATGGACTGCAAGGAGAATAAACATGTTCGACCTAGAGAGGGTGAAACCAAGATGCTCCTTGAAGGCAAGGATTCTGAGGGTTCATCTGACATACTTTGTGCATGTTGCAAGGAGGGACATCATGCTTGGAAGTGTGGAGGGACGAAGAAAGAGAGGGAGACCATCGATGAGATGGATTGATACAGTGACTAGGGTAATAAGGGTAAGTGTGTCAGAAACAGTAAAATTGGCACAGAATAGAGCGGTTTTCAAGGCTGTTGTGCGTAGGGTCATTATGAGTCTCACTTGAAGGCACATAACAATAACAACATTAACAGGATATTTTTTCTCTTGTGGACTTGATTTCATTTTCTTTAGTTTCAACTTGAGTTTGCATATAAGCTATTGGGCTGTTCCATAGCTGTCCTCTGTCTTTGTTCTGTCTGAAGATACTGAGCTTCTCTGTTTATCTTTTTCCACATATGTAGTCCATTTGATTCATATCTGATCCATCTTTCATAGTTTGTACTCTTTATGTTGTTTTAAAAAGATATTTGCAATGAGTAAGTCATTCTTGGTTAATATTATCATACAGTCTTCTACAATGTTTCTATTGTTGTGTACCATAAAGTCAGAACTGACCGATAGCTGACCCTCTGATGAGTTTTCAGAGGCTGTTACTTGCATGGAAGGAGATTGCCCATCATTCTCCCATGGAGCATTTGGTGACCTCGAACAGGGTGCTTTTGGGATTGCTGCGCAGCTCCTTGCCACTACTACTAGGCCACCAGAGCTCCCTGTATTTCCTAATTATCCTTTATTTCCAGCTTTCACATTCTAATCATAAGTCTTCATTTCATGTTTGATCACTGTTTAAGAAATTGATAAAAATCTTCCATTTCTTTTCTTAGGCTTTAGTGGTATGTGAATTTGAATAACAGCCTTATTAACAGGACTTCAGTTACTGTCCTATCACTGACAACATTGTTGTTCAGAAAAGGTCTCAGAGTAATCTTTTAATCAGTGAATGTGATTTTGTTCCCATTCAGTTTGTTATTCCTGGCTTGTTGCTGTCAAGTTGGAACTGACATATAGCTGACCCTCTGGTAGGTTTTCAAAGGCAGTAAAACAAAAGATTTTAATCAAGAGCAGCTGGTGGGTTCAAACCATGTGCCTTTGGATTGGTAGCACAGCTACTACATTCGATTGCCAGATTTCCCAGCATAGTAAATTTTATTATTGTCCTTATTCAGAATTTTCTGTTCTGATCCATTTAGGTTCACTGATGGCTAGGATATTGATCTTTATTTGTTCCATCTCATTTTTTACAACTTTTTGTTTTCTTAGATTCATATTTTAAACATTTTATGGTTCAGTTATTAATGGATGTTAACAGCTTTCCCCCCTCATTTTGAGTTGTATCACATCAGAAATTAGTGTCTGAAAGCTTTACTCCCTTTTCCATAGTCATGTTTTTAATACCTTTCATCCTGAGGATCTCCTCTTCTGGGACTGTATCAGTTAGTTTGCAACTATTATACATCAAGTTTTTACTGGCTTAATTTTTTTAGAAGTAGTTTGTCAGTCCTCCTTCCTAGTTCGTCTGAATCTGGAAGCTCTGCTGAAACCTGTTGATCATGGATGACCCTGCTAATATTTGAAATACTGTAGCATAGCTTCAAGCATCATAGCAACACAGCCACCACAGTATAACTGACAAGCTGTCACGTCATTATATAGCAGTGCATGATTTGAAAAGCTCTCAAATTTTTTTGTTTCTTGAGATATTAGAAAATATTCCCCACATTGTATATGAGAGATAATCTCTCCTCCGGAAACTCTATGAATGTGGAGAAATGATGAAAGTTATACCAGTGTTCAGGTTTTTCGTTCATAGAGTCGCTTTGAATAGTGTACGACTCGACAGCACTTAACAACAACAGTGCCTTTTACTATGTAGTTATATCTCATCATATGTAATTTTTCAGTCTTTATATTAATATTAGATAGTTGTTGTGTACTGTCAAGTTGGAACCGACCCATATCTGTCCCTGTGGTGGGTTTTCGGAAGCAGTTTATTGCACAGGAGGAGATTGCCCATCCTTCTCCAGTGGAGCAGCTGGTGGCCTTGAACCGCATGCCTTCAAGATTGCAGTGCAGCTTCTTGCCACTAGGCCATCAGAGCTCTCTAATGTTAGATAGAGACACAGTTATTATCTTCTTTCTGTGAAACAATTTATGTGACTGTCAGTTCTGTCTTCCTTCATCATTGAATTTTATTTTTAAGAAAGCAAATTATTGTAATGTTAGCCTAAGTACAGTGACCTGAATGTTTTAATATTCTTTAGCTGAAGAGGAGGCGAATGAAGAAGATGTACTGGGAGATGAAACAGAGGTGAGTTGGAGAGAGTAAGGTTAGTTGCTGGTCTGGCGATGTGCCACTGTGTTGACCATAGTACATATCAATCATTAGAGAACTCAGGTGCTAAATCATTAGGGGAACATAAAAAGGGAGTTAAGGTCCTGAGAAACTGGTTCATTTTGGAGTATTGACATTACTGTTGGTGGATATTTACTCTTGATTTATGTTAATGGTCTTATTTCATTTGGTTTTAGGAAGAAGAGCCAAAGCCCATAGAACTGCCTGTCAAAGAGGAAGAACCTCCTGAAAAAACTGTTGATGTGTAACTATTCCTTTTTTATTCTTTTAATATAGAATACACAGTTGTATTTAATTTTATTTGATATTTCAGTCTCCTCCTTACACATTTCTATTGACTTTTTAATTTCTAATTAGATTAATTTCATTTTCAAGAGTCTTACTTCAATCTAGCTACATGTCCCAGTAAAGCAATGCTGTTTGTCCCTGAGTTAAATTAGGTTGATTAGATCCATGTGACACTTTGAATCCAGACACATTTAGTTTTCCAAATCTTTGTTGTTCTTTGTAAGTTAACTGTAATAGTGAACTAGAGAAATGATCCCAAAAGTATAATCTTAAGATACCCATAATAGATAAATTCTCTCCAAAGAAAGGTAAGACTATTTTTAAGGAATTTCTTAAGGGAAGACAATTTTGGGTAGAGATTATCTTTTAAGCAACACTCTTCTCTCTTGCTTTTTGATTTCATGGTGGAGGATAGAGGAAAGTAGTAGAGTAGAAAGGTAATGTCATTTAAACTGTTCCAGTATTATTAACTGTAAACATTTAGGACTCTCTGTATTTTATGCTCCAGTATATTAAATCCTTCACATTTTTTTCTTCTTGTAGCTTTATTCTTTAATTATAAAATACAGTATGTTGTTGTTTTTGTTATTGTTAGGTGACATTGAGTCAACCACAACCCTAGACAAAAGATATGAATGAACCCTGTTCTGTCCTGTGCCATCTCACATTTCCTAAAACACAAGAGCCCACTGCAGCAGTTACCATGTCAGTCTACCTGATTGAGGATCTTCCTCTCCTCTGACCCTCCACCCATCCCAGCATCATGTCCTTCTCCAAAGAGTAGCCCTTCTAGCAGCATGCCCAAAGTATATGAGGTGAAGCCTCATCATTTTTGCTTCCAAAGAGCACTCTGACTGCACCCTCTCAAAGACATCTGGTTGTTCCCTTGGCTGTACATAGGATGTTCAGTGCTCTTCTCCAACACCACAGCTCAAAGACAATTCTTTTTCTATCATCCATATTCACTGTCCAACTCTCAGATGCATAGCAAGTGATTGCTAAGACTGGCCTGAATCAAATGCACTTTAGTCCTCAAACTGACATTGTTACTCCTCTTTAGAGAGGTCCCTAACTGCAGATTTTCCCAGTGCAATGTCTCTATTTCCTGACTGCTGGTATCAAGGGTGTTAATTGCAGATCTAAGCAAGATGAAGCTTTTGACAACTTTGTATGTAAGAGACTATATTATGTACGCATTTTAAAAAAAAGCAAACACCTTTCTAGGGGTTATACCATGTCCTGGAATAGTCTAGATATACACACATTTACACACTGTCTTTAATTATTTTATATATGGAGATGTTGCTTTTTTAAATTTATTATTAATTTCAGTGAAAATTTACAGAGACTTTGGATTTCCATTCATTCATTGTTGCACTTTTCTCCCCTCCCAACCTTCCCCCTCCCTTGGAAAAGTAAAAGAAAGATTTTTTCATTGTTTTACAATCTCTCCTCCCAAGTCCACTCCACTATGCAGCCTTCACTCTGGACTCCTGTCATGACAAAAAAACGTAATCACTTATGTATAACCCTTTTAAACAATTTTCTCCCTCATCTGTTTCAATCAATATACATTATTGAACCCATCTTTCTCAGTCTCCCCCAACCCCTGTGGCAGTCCTGTTTTACAATAGTGGCACCATGCAGTATTTGTCCTTTTGTGACTGAGTTACTTTACTCTGCATAATGTCCTCCAGGGTCATCCATTTTGAATAATACTTCACGAGTTCCTTGTTTTTCAATGCAGCATAGTAATCCATTGTGTGAATATACCACAGCTTCTCTATCCAGTCGTTTGTTGATGGTATATATGGAGATATTTCTAATGCATAACTTAGGGATACTACATGTGTACTTCTAAACCACTGCAATTAAGTCATGCAAAATTTTTTAATTACCCAGTCTGTATAGGAGCAAACCTGTTAGTGTGACTATTATTCAAATGTATATACCAACTACTAAAGCTAGATTTGAAGAAACTGAGGATTTCAGCCAACTTTCGTAGTCTGATATTGATCGAGCATATAATCAAGATGTATTGTTAATAACTGATAACTGTAATGTAAAAGTTAGAAACAAAGAGGAAGAATTTCTAGTTGGAAAATAGGGCTTTTTGACAGAAAAGAAGCTGGATATCAAATGATAGAATTTTGTACTATTAATTATTTATTCATTGAAAATGTTTTTTAAAAAAACAAGCAGAGACTATGCACATGAACTTCACCTCATAGACTGACTACATAGGAATCAGATTGACTACATCTGTGGAAGGAGTCAGTGGAGAAGTTCACTATTGGCAGTCAAAACCAGGTGAGGGGCTAACTGTGGAACCATCAACTGCAAGGTCAAATAGAAGGTGAAGAAAATGAAAAGAAATTCATGAGAGCCAAAATAGGACTTTGAGTGTATCTCAGCTGAATTTTTAAAGCATCTAAAGAATAGATTTGATGTGCTAGAACACTAGTAACCAAAGACCAGATAAAAGTGATTACAAAGACAAGGAAGAAAGAAAACACCAAAATAGATGTCAGAAAAGACTCTGAAACTTGTGCTAGAATATAAAGAAACTAAAGGAAAGGATCAAAGGATGGAGTAAGATAGATGAACAGATTTCAAAGGGCATTTTTAGAAAATAGAGCATAGTATTATGAAATATCAAAGACTTGGAGTTAGAAAATCAGAAGGGATGAAGATGCTTAGCATTTCTCAAGCTAAAAGAACTGAAAAACAAATTCAAGCCTCATGTTATGATACTGAAAGAAGGATTCTATAGGCAAAAAAATTTAATGATGCAGAAGGCTTTAAGAGAATATAATAGGGAGCTCTGGTGGCCTAATGGCAAGAAGCTGCACTACAATCCCGAAGACATGTGGTTTGAATCAACCAGATTCTCTGCTGGAGAAGGAGGGGCAGTCTTCCTTTGCCAGTCGGGTCCAATTTCTGTGGTGTACAACAAGGGTGCGGGGGAAGAGAGAGAAATAGGAGGAATACAGAGTCATTGTATCAGAAAAGAATTGATCAGTGCAGAAAACCATTTAAGGAAGTAACATATGCCTACAAACCAATGGTGCTGAAGTCTAAGGTATACTGAAGACAGTGGGGTGGGGGGAAAGGCTCCAGTAGTTGAAGTGTTTCCACTAATGGAGACGTTTCAATAAAGAGATGCAGCCTTGTTTATGCCAGGAAATTTGTAAAATTACTGAGTGGAAGAGATCAAAGTTTGTGCTCATACCAGAAAAGGTAATCCACTGAAATGTGGGAATTTTCAAACAATATCATCAGAATCACACACAACTAAAATTTTACTAGAGATTATTGAAAAAAGTCTGGACTAGTTAATTGGTATCCTTTCACTATATAAGAAGAATCTGTGCACTTGAACAACATGGGTGAGACATAACAGACTATACTATGGACTCTTAACAAGCAAATTTATCGTGGAGGAAGTGCAGTGAGGGTACTCCTTAGAAAAGGTTGTTGGAAGCTATCACATAGTTTGGAGAGGCTGTGAAGAAGTACCAGTCCTTGGAAAAACAAGATCATCCTGAAGAAGTAGAAGACAAGAGAGGGAGAGCTGTATGGTGGTAGACTAACAGTTGTCTTTATTTAGCCTTAGTTAGCCCCTCTGGTATCCAGCTACCTTACCTGCAGACTCATGTTCTTACAAATCAGCATTAGCTGTGGGACTAGTATAAATGAAAGAGTGCTTCCCCATGCTAAGCAGCAGGGCTTGTGGCTGCAAGACATTGGTGAGAACAAGACCCTACTGGTAGAGAAACTGTGGCATTGCTGTGGACAAATGGTGGCAAGGTGTGACCAGAATCTTCTTGCATTTGTGCTGGCCACAGTTGAATTTTGCTATTCTTGCCTTTGATGGTAGAAGGGAAAGCTGTTTGCTGAATTGAAACCAGAGCCTAGACTAACTTGAGGACTAGTACTGTAGAATAGTTGGGTTAAAACCTGGACTTTCTTTGGAAGATATTATGATATTCTTTGCCTTCCCCACTCTCCAGCTTCCTTCTCTAATAAACCCCATTGTTGGTACCATAACTGTGAGTCAGCAAGAACAGATGAACCTCTTGATGCTGGTGGGCCTTTACAGGATCCATGGGATTGGCTACCTGATTTGCTTTCTGCTCTGGGGTGGTGAGAAGCTGTGTTATTCTTTCTCCCTCTGGTCCTTTCAGAGAGAGGCTCTTGGTCCTGTGCCTTTATGGCCTGTTTCCTGCTTATTAAGAAGCCCTGGTGGTATAGTGTTTCATGTTTTGGAATGCAACCAAAAGTCTATAATTTAGATCTACTAGCTTCTCCAAGGGAGAAAGATGGGTGGTCATCTCATAAAAATTTCATGCCTCAGAATCCTGTTGGAGGAGCACTAGGCTCAATATGATAGGAGTGGTTTGGCATTTTTTGGGGGTTGGTGAAGCAATATTTAAATGTTGGCTGAACTATACTAAGCCTGGTCCTAAGTGTTTTCCATGTCTTTTCATTTAATCCTCACACTATCATTATGAAGTAGTGATAACAACATAGAGATCAGTTTGCCTAGTGGACAGAAAGTGATGCCACCAAGCCAAAGGTGGATGACTTTGATCCGCAGCCCTCAGGCCTGTTTTTGTTTTTGGTGAAACATTCTTCTAGGTCATATAGCACTGGTGCGTCCACTTGCCATACAGAGGTAACGTGTGGTTGCTGTAAAGCTGAACACTGACACTGATATGTCAAATGGGATAGATAATGGTTACCCATGGTGGATAGTGTTTGGTGTAGCTCCCTGATTAAAACAAACTTGGAGGCAGGAGTGTCGTCTACTTCGGTAATAGCTTGCCTCTGGAAACCCTATGAACCTGGAGAAAGGATGAAAGTCACACAAGTATTGAGGACTTTCGTTCATAGGGTCACTATGAGTTGCCTACGACTCGACATTTAACAACAACAATTAGTCATTCATCTCTTTTTTTTTGTCTGTTATGTAAAATTGCAGTTACATACAACAAAAGTTATGAAGTATAATACACTTCTAACCATTTACTATCACCCAGATTTAGTAGTCCTCTACTTTGAAATTTTTCTTTCCTGCAGCTCCAGTCTATGAATGAACAGTATTATGCTGGTCATTTGATGGATATTTACAGTTGTTGTATGACGTTGAGTTCGAACCAACTCATAGCTGACCCTCAAGAGGGTTTTCAGAGGCAGTAAATCAGATGGGAGGAGATTGTGGTTTCCAACCGCTGTCTTTTGGATTGCCACACTGCTTCTTACCACTAGGCCACCAGTATTTATAGTAATAAAAGAATATACTGCTTGTTGGCTCTCTGCTCCTCATCGATCCAGATTGCCCTTTCTTCTTGTGCAGCCTCAGCCGTATCCCTGAGACACAGTGGTGAAGGTCAGAGTAAACGGATTGGGCCGCATTGGGCGCCTGGTCACTCTAGCAAATTGGATGTTGTTGCCATCAATGATCCCTTCGTTGACCTCAACTACATGGTCTATATGTTTCAATATGATTCCACCCATGGCAAGTTCAACAGCATTGTCAAGCCTGAGAGTGGGAAGCTGGTCATTAATGGGAAAGCCATCACTATATTTCAGGAGCGAGATCCCGCCAACATCAAGTGGGGTGATGCTGGTGCTGAGTATGTTGTGGAGTCCACTGGTGTCTTCAAAACCTTGGAGAAGGCTGGGGCTCACTTGAAGGGTGGTGCCAAACGGGTGATCATCTCTGCTCCTTCTGCCGATGCCCCCATGTTTGTGATGGGAGTAAACCATGAAAAGTATGACAACTCTCTCAAGATTGTCAGCAATGCCTCCTGCACCACCAACTGCTTGGCTCCCCTGGCCAAGGTCATCCATGACAACTTCGACATTGTAGAGGGACTCATGACCACAATCCTTGCCATCACTACCACCCAGAAGACTGTGGATGGCCCCTCTGGAAAGCTGTGGCATGATGGCCGTGGAGCTGCCCGGAACATCATTCCTGCATCTACTGGCGCTGCCAAGGCCGTGGGCAAGGTCATCCCTGAACTGAGTGGGAAACTTACCGGCATGGCTTTCCGTGTCCCCACCCCCAATGTGTCAGTTGTGGACCTGACCTGCCGTCTGGAGAAAGCTGCCAAATATGATGACATCAAGAAAGTAGTAAAGCAGGTATCAGAAGGGCATTCTGGGATACACTGAAGATCAGGTTGTCTCCTGTGACTTTAATAGTGACACCCACTCTTCCTTTGATGCTTGGGGCTGGCGTTGCCCTGAACGACCACTTTGTCAAACTCATTTCCTGGTATGACAATGAATTTGGCTACAGCATCTGGGTGATCGACCAATGGTTCACATGGCCTCCAAAGAATAAGAGCCCCTTGGACTACCAGCCCCAGCAATAGCACTAGAAGAGAGATAGAGAGGCCCTCAGCTGCTGGGGAGTCCTTGCCCCAACTTGATCCTCCCCCACACTGAGAATCTCACATCCTTGACACAAGTTTCCATCAAATCCCCCTGAGAAAGGGGAGGGGCTTGGAGAGCCCATCTTGTCATGTACCATCAATAAAGTACACTGTACTCAGCCAAAAAAAAAAAAAAAGAATATACTGCTTATTTCTTTCAAACAATTTTTATACTTATGTAAATAAATGCCTACTAGTGAGCTTGTTTGTTGTTATGTGCCTTCGAGTTGGCTGTGACCCATAGCCACCCCCTATATCTATATAAGCAGCTCTGAAGCCTGCCCTGTCCTAATCCAATATATAGGGTTTTGTATTTAACATTTTCATAAATTATATTAGATAACACTACTTTCTGAAGCCAATTAGTTATTATCCCATCATAAGACATTATTAAATATACCCAAAACCAAACCCACTGCTATCCAGTAAGTTCTTGTTCATTGTCACCATCCATCAGGTTTCTATGACTGTGCTATAAATTTTAATGAGAGGGAACTATCCATTTTTCTCCCTCAACAGCTGCTAGATTCCAATAATTGACTGGCCTTTTGTTTAGCAGCATAAAACAACTCATTCTGCCAGTTATTAAATATAGTGCCTTATTAAAATTACTTTATTAGAAAAGCTTTGAAACCTATTTCAGTGACTTCTGGATAAGAAAGAACATCAGGTAAATTAGTAGCTTGAATGAGATATAAAAGTTTACAGATGTTCTTTAACTTTTGTTAGTAAAGTTCAAAACAAGGAAATTATAAGTTGCTTTTGTGAAGGATTTTCATGATTAGATTGAGGCATATTAGAGAAAGGTTTTAGTTCCTTATAGTTTAGGCAATGTTTAAGATACGACTTTGAGTAGAAGAGGCAGATTTCTCTGTGAAGAGTGGAAATTTTCCTTGAATCTCAGCAGTAAATTATGTTTATTGCTTACATTTAATTGAGACTAGGTTAATTGGAATAGAGTCAAAGGTTCCCTTCTTACATGAGGCTTATGTCAATTATACTTCAGAATAGGAATGTGGAGGAAGTCATTAGCTTGGAGTTGGAGAGCACTGTTATTTTCATGTCTTTCACTTCAGTAAAACATTAAACTTACTTGGCCTTTTCCTTCTGAAAAAGATAAAGATGGAACAGGAAAAATGGCTAGAATTTAGAAATTTATTAAGATTATAAAGGATAAAGATGGAATAGGAAAAATGGGTAGAATTTACTTATTTATTAAATTAAGATTATTCAGGGTTAATTTTAGGTCTTTTAACTATTTAGATCTCCTTTCTTCCTCTTTTTCCTGAGGTCTTCCAAGAGTATACTCTATGTCTAGTTTGATTTCTCCCCCTTCCTCAGCCAAAGGAGCTCTGGGGATGTAGTCTATAGAGAGTTGTACTGTTGACCCAAGGATGGTGCCATTCTGGTGCCTTGAATCCACCAGGATGGACAGTCTCCTCCCAGGGATTATCAAGCCTTGAAAGCCCTGGGGGAAGGGGGTGTCAGTTAAGAAGAATGGGAATGAGTTTTTCCCTCAGCCAAGGCAGTAGGACTTAAATATTGTAGGATGTAGTTATGGTCAGCAGGGGGCACCCATTACTTGTCTAGGGACTTTGGGAAAAAAAGTTTCAGTTCCAGAATTGCTTCCTCTGAAAATGTCATTAAACCATTACTACCTTTCAAGGCATCAAATGGGAATAGTGTCCGGGATATTGGAACAAAAGCCACCCATATCTCTAAATGAGAGTCCTTAATGAGACTGGTTATGACCCACTGTTTTATGGGAGTTGTTTGGTGGAGGGTTAATTCCCTTCCATTTATCCTGGGTACTTCCGAACTTTGTCTCCCACCCCTATGGTCTTTTGTTTTCTCCTAAACCTTTTGACCACTAACTTACCATGTTTTCCTAACTCAAATTCCCCTTGCCCTTTTTTTCTTCTCATCCGCTTTGGCATTTTTATTTGTCCCATTTTGACTGTTACAGCTGGAGCTATGGCCCCATGGGTAAATAAAGGATTTGTAAAAGAAGGAAACTAGGGCCTGTTAGTTAGAACGCTTATTAATTGTTGTGATGAAAATCGAACTGTTATTTAAGTGAGAACTGGAAGATTAGACATTACTGCAAAAGTAAACTAGAAGTTCTTAAAGCAAATGAAGTAGGTGATAGTACTATTTCCCTTCACCTCAATATATTTAACTAGTATATTACTTCTTTCTTCAATAAATAAAAATTTGAACTGCTGTAGTGATGATGGTTCAAAGGCCAAAATTCTAATGGATTTTGTGGTGGGTTTTTTGTTTTGTATTTTGGGGTGGTTTTGTTTGTTTGGTTGGTTTGGTTTTTTTTTGTTTTGTTTTGTTGTTTTTTCAGCCTAAGAGGATAGTGGAGAGAAATGGGGCAGAGAATATTACTTAGATAAATTCCTGTATATGGCCCTAGGTTTTGGTGTAAAATACCAGTTTTGCTTTTTGTTACTTGTTTTTGTTTTGTTTTTAAATCTTTGTTGTTTTCTAGGGCAGCAGAAAAGAAAGTGGTAAAAATTACATCTGAAATACCACAGACTGAGGTAGGCATTCTCTTCCTGTTATTTCTGCTCCCTATTTGATGGACAGTCTTTTCATTTGTCTGTTACCTTTTATTCTTTTTGCACTGTTTAAAAAAATTTCTTCGTAAGCAGAAAATCTGTACTCTCAGATTTTGTAATATTTTTTCACCAACTACATGAAGGAAAATATTTGGGCTAGCCTTGTAGGTAGGCACCTTTGAAGTCTTAGTATTTTTTGTTTCTTTTGGGGGGAGACTAGGGATAAATCCTGGGGTCTCAGAGATTGTTCTTCCTAAAATGTTAACAAATGTACCATTAGGATTAGGGAGGGTTGTACTTTAGAAGAAAAGTAATAGAGAAGTAAGTTACTCTTAAATTGCTACTCATTGACAGATGAAATTTGTCCAAATTCTGTTTCAAAGATCTCTGTAACTAAGTTCTAGTCAAAATCTTGTGTGTTTTGTAACCTTAAAGTAGAGAATTTTTAAACTCTTTTATATTGGTATAGAACAAGACTGCCTCATTACCGAACCAGTGTGTTGGAGTCATGTTCTTCCTTTGATACCTTTTCACACATCAACCAAATTGTATAGAATGTGGATTTTGTTTTGTTTCTTTTGTTTTTAAGATATGGATGTAATCTTTTTGTGTTTGCTTTGTGGAAAAAGCTGTTGAGTTAAAGACTTAGGATATAAACACTGAGAATCCTCTAGGATTGTCAGTATTCTTACTTAAGACCTTAAGAAATTAGGGGAATATAGGGAAAGTGGGAATAGATAATGAACACTGAATGGAGGAAAAAATGTTTAAAAGGAATATATGATTAGGCATTATTTGTATGTCAGCAGTCCAGGTTAAGAGGTACGTAGCAAAAGTGGACTAAGAAAAGGGTGGGAAGTGGGGAAAGGAGGAAATTGTGCAATGATGAATGAATTTTTTAAAGTGAACTGGAGGGGTATATAGGCGAATGAATGAAAATCCAACTTTCCTGTAAACTTTCATTAAAATCACAATAAACAAAAAAATTGTTCCTGATGTTCTAAAAGACACTCATTTCTAACCAGCTTTTCTCGTAAATAAATTTTTCTCTTCCTTTTCTTTTACCTATTACCACTTAGAGAATGCAAAAAAGGGCTGAACGATTCAACGTACCTGTGAGTTTGGAGAGTAAGAAAGCTGCCCGGGCAGCTAGGTAAGTGTCACCAGTCTTTTAGGCCTGAGATGGTTTTAGATATAATTGTTCATTTTAAATGGGAAAGAGACTTGGTTGGCCAAGAGAACACACATTCTTGGGCCCTATTCAGAACATCTGCTGACTTGGCTGTAATAGCTTTAGAATGGTTTTTATTATTGAGCATAGTTGGGTTTTTTTAATAGGCCATAATCAAGAATAAGCTCCTATGTCTTTTTTTTTCTGGTAGAACTTCCTTTTAGTTATTCTCTCAACTTGTGAGAAGAGGAGTAAACTGAACCTCTTTCATGGAGTTGTTAGAATTAGCTAATGATTGCAAAGATTGAGATCACAAGCCAGAAGTGCCATATGTACACTTGACACGGAGACAGACAACCAGAAGTGTGAACCGCTTCCTAAAATTTAGTATGTTTTTCTTTCTACAGGTTTGGAATTTCTGCAGTTTCAACAAAAGGTATGAGTATAAAGTCTCTCCAGAAAAAGTTATTTTTATGTTGGCTTTTTTTCAGGTATAATTTTTTTCAGTTGGAGTGAACTTTTTAGCTTTAGAAGAACTTAACAGGTTAGACCATTCATCTCTTTGCTGAGCAGATACATGAAGAAAGTACTGAAATTAAGAGAAAGGATAGGAGAAAGTGAGTGCTAACATTTGTCTTCCTTTTTCTTGAACTCATGAAAAACTTTACTGGTACCTTTCTTACTATTGGTATCTCAACTCAGCATATAATTTATATGTATACCTAACCATTGTTATTCTGACTAATGTAAGTGATAAAAGGGAAAGAAGAATGTCTTTTATCTAGCACTTTTATTTCTAGGCATTTTGCTTAAGGAGTAATAATGGGTGTGTTTAAGGATTTAGCCACAAGGATTGTCACAATTTTTATGATTCATATCTAAAACCATAACATGTAATGGTGAATTCATTAAATAAAAGTGTACCATAGAGTAATAAAAGAACTGTACATATAAAAAATTATATTGAAGCATATTTGTGAAAATACTAAGTGAAAAAAACAAGTTAAAATTTTTAATTTAGTGAAAGTTTTCAGAGAGATTGGTTTCATTCGTGTATGCATGTGTTACAAAACTTTATTAGCAGTGCTTTTCCTTTTTAATTTTAGTAAGTGTACATTGATAGGAAAAAACTAAAAGAACATAGATTGTTCATACTCATGATATTGCTCTAATTTTGAGTGACATTATCCTTGTTTTTAAAATTTCAGTGAATGTGTTTTACCTTTGTAATAAGTTAGGGGAAGGACATTTTATTAACATAATTAGACTTTTCAGGGAATTATTATTTAAATAGAGCTTTTTCTAGTGACCTGTGAACAAAGTTAAATGTGTTAAAGAAATGTTTTCGAAGATCTTGTGGTTTTTAGTTTCTAATTTTCTTTTTTTCATGTAGTGTTTGCTGTATTTTAAAAGATAAAATTCTGGTCACTATCATTAAATGTTTTCCCAATAAAATAGTTTCTAACTTTTGCTTATATCAAGAGATAAAATTTTAAAGGTACAACAAAACCCAAAATGATTAAAAACCTTGTTTACACATTAAATATAGAATGCCTGAAAACATAATAGTTACTGCAAGGTAGAAACTAAATTAGTACTTATTGTAAGGAGGAAATTTAATTGGTAAAGTAATATATAGAGCAGTAGCAATTCAAAAGATTAGAGTTAAGAGACAGTGACTTTATACTTATGGGAGAACAGCTTAGAAAAGAAGAATGATTGTATACCTCTCTCTCTAGAGAATATAATCACAAAGGATGTAATCAGTGCCACAGAATGAATTGTACACATAGAAGTGGTTGAATTCATATATGTTTGCATTATTTATTCTCAACAACAAATACAATTTTAAATGTTTAAAAATTATGTAGCTAGCATATGTGCATTATTCATATAGTTCTGACATCCCAGAATTAGAACTACTTTTTAATACAATTTTAAAGATGTTACTGTTCTTTGAATGAGAACAGAAAGCTACCTGATAGTTCCTGTTAGTTAATAAATTGGAGAAAAGTACTGAATAATGTACTGCCAAAAGAACAAACAGATATGTCTTGGAGAAAGTGCAGCCAGACTACTCCTTAGAGACAAAGATAGTGAAGTTCATCTCATACTGTGGGCATGTTGTTAGGAAGGACTGGTCTTTGGAAAGGATATCATGCTTGGAAAGGTTAGCAAAAGAGAGGAAGACCCTCAATAAGTTGGATTGACATAGTCATCACAGCAGTAGACTCATATATTTCAGAAATTACAGGATAGGACAGAATTCAGATCTTTTGTTCATAGGGTTGATATGAGTCATACTCAAGTTGATGACACCTGACAACAGCAGTAGTTTCTAGCTGATGGATTTTGGAAAAAATAAAATCCATACAGGAGTACTTGCAGTGAAGAGTAGAGAACTAAGTATAAAGTTGAGCTCTCTTAAAATTCAGTAGAGTTTGACGTAAACTATTAGTGAAAAAAAAGTCGGAATGTTTCTGTTTGGATTGTGAGACTTCTGTCACATACTTTCAGCATCTTACCAGGAGGGATCAGTCTTTGAAGAAGGCCATCTTCCAAAAAGTAGTTGTTTTTGTTGTTGTTGTTGATTGTAGTCAAGCATGACTTAAAGCAACTCTTTGAACAAAAGACCTAATGTCTTTCTATAACTATTGTCATTTTTCCAAGTTCATAGAGTTTCCATAGGCATGTGGTTTAGGACTTGGATGCCACTCCTTCCAAACCTGTTTTACAACTGGAAGTTTAACCACTGTCCACATTGGGAAACCATTATGGCATTTCACACTCAGGGGCATAAGGTTCAGCATCACAGCAAACCCAGATCACCTCAGTACAGCAAATTGGGCAAAGAGTGATGTACAAAGTAGAATGTTCCTCCAAAATATAACACTAGTCTCAGTTTGTAACGGTTAGGTGTTGTCAGGTTGAATACGACGCATAGTGATCCTATGAAAAAAAGACCTGAACTCTATTCTACAATTAACATTATTTCTTTATGCTGATAGAAAGTAGAAGAAGGAGACCTAGATGAGATTTTTTGGCATAGTAGTTTCAACAGTGCACTTAACCACAGCAGAGACTGGGAGACTGGCACTGGATTGGTCAGGGTTTTATTCTGTTCTGTTCTACATAGAGTCACTATGAGCTGGACCTGAGTCAAGAGTACTTAACAAACTGAGGTAGTTAACAAACTGAGGTTAGAGTTGAACCTACAGGCTAGTTGATGTTTGCTAATACTGAACACTGAAGATATATTGCATTGGGAAAGTCTGCAGTCAGAGACCTCTCTGAATTATTATATTTTTTTCTTTGCACATTTTTATTTCTTTTTTTAATTAATTTTAAAGTTTAAAGAGACTTAGGATTTCCATTCATTCATTGTTGCACTTTTCTACCTGCCCACCCCTCCCTCCAATTCGCTCTTCTCTTTCCAAAGTAAAAGAAAAATTCCTTCAGTGTAAGACAATTCCTCCCCCCAAGTACACTCTACTGTGCTGCATTCATTCAGGACTCCTGTCATGACAATAATACCTAATCATATATCCCCCCGAAACGGTTCTCTCCCTCATCTGTTTCAATGCAGTATCCATTATTTATCCCCTCTTCCTTCGTCTTCCCTCAGCCCTGATGTCAGTCCCATTTTACATCAGTGGCCCTATGCAACAGTTGTTCTTTTTTTATTATTATTATTATTAAATTTTATTAATTTTAATGAACATTTACAGAGATTTTGGGTTTTCATTCTCTCTAAATTATTGAGGAGCAATGGTATCAGTTTGGGGACTAAAGTGTGTCTGATTCAAGCCATAGTGTTTCCAGTCACTTGCTATACCTCTTGAGAGCTGAACAGTGAATAAAGATGATGGAAGAAAAACTATACCTTTGAATATGTAGTGTTGGAAGAGAGTACTAAATATTCTGTGGACTGCCAAAAGAACAAACAAATATGTCTTGGAGAAAGTGTACCCAGAGTACTCGTTGGCAGCATAGATGATAATATCTTCATCTCATATATTTTGGGCATGTTGCTAGAAGAAGGATATTTTTTGGAGAGGTGCATCATGTGTGGAAGGGTGGAGAATCGTTGAAGGAGAGGAAGACCCTTGGCCAGGTGGATTGACACAGTGACTGCCGCAGTGGGCTGTTGTTGTTAAGTGTCATCAAGTCACAGGCAACTCATAACAACCCTATGAAGGAGAGTACTCAACATTTGTGTGTCTTTCATCCTCTCCAGGTTCATAGGGTTTCCGGAGGCAAGCTATTACGGAAGTGGATACCACTCTTGCTTTCAAGCTTGTTTTAATCGGGGAGCTCCATCCCACACTGTCCTCCTTGGGTAACCAATTATTAACGCATTTGACACATCAGTGTTCAGTGTCACAGTGTTCAGCCTCACAACAACCACAAGTTACCACTGTATGGCAAGTGGACACACCAGGGCTATACAACCCAGAGGAATGTTTGAACAAAAATAATGAAAGATAGGCCCGAGAGCCGCAGATTAAAAGTCACCTGCCTTTGGCTTGGTAACATCGCTTTCTGTCCACTGGGCCAACTGATCTCTCTCTATGTTGATGTTAAGTGCCATCGAGTCCCAGGCGACTCATAGTGACCCTGTGAAGGAGAGTCCTCAACGCTATATAGTGTGTCAGAAGTTATGAGGATGGTGCAGGATAGGACAAGGTTCATATCTGCTTTTCTTAGGGTCCCTGTTGGTCGTACCTGACTTGATGGTACCTGAAAATAACAATACTGAATATTAGGGAGCTCTGGCCACCCAAAAGCAAGCCACCACCTGTTCCTTGGGAGAAAGAGTGACAGTCTTTAGTGCACTTAGAGTTTCTGAAACCTGCTGGAAGATCATCTTTAAGTCATTTCCAGCTGGACTGCAGTGAGTGTGAGCCAGTACTGAGTACTAAATTAAGGACAGGACATTAGCATTAAGAGGTTATAATTTCTGTGCATGACAGCAATTTTGGAACATTGTGGAATGGGCTGGGAGTGGGGGAGAAAATGTGCAACAATGAGAAAATTAAAAAGAGGCCATAATTTCAACTCATTATTATATTGACAGTAATTCTGTTGTTTTGTCCAGTTGGAGTATCTTTCTTTCTTCCCCATTCCCTTTATTTTTTCCCCCTTTTTTTATTTTGAGGGGGAGCTTTATAAGTCATCTACCACATGGTTAGTACTAGGGAACTCTGGTGACTTAGTGATAAGGGGTTGCCATGCCAACCCAAAGACACACACAGTTCAAATTCCCAGTTGCTCCAAGGGAGAAAGATGGGTATTCTCCTCTCTTAGGATTTTATTACCTTTGAAAACTTGCTGGAGGGTCAGCAATGTGTTAGTTCTGGTTTGATGATATATAACAACCACCATATAATATAGTTCATTCATTTAAAGTATACAAGTCATTTAGGTTTGTTTGTT